TGCCACAGCATCACATGCATTAAGCGCCCCCCCCCCCCCCCAGTTTAAAAAATGGCAATGGGACTTTTTAGCTAAAGATCATTAAAAATGGGCCAGTGACCCATTTTAAATCACCATGTGATGCTGCGGTGATGCTACAGCATTCTAATTAGAGCGTGGAGCAGACTCGATTAATCAAGTCTGCTCTGACAAGTTCTAATTAGAATTCATTGGAGCATGTGTATAGGCACTGGTGTCCATTAGCTTCTGGAATGTGGTAAAGATGGCTTAGGATCCTTGAGGACCTTAACAATCCTTAAAAATGATCTTGGCGTGTCCCATAAATGAAACAATACTTTGAAACGATTTTCACCTAAGACATTGATGTTTCACAAAGGGACAATGGAAGATTGGGGGAAGAAGGAAATTGCCTCACTGAATGTGGGCTCTGAACAGGCCGTACCTGACAGATGCTTCTATAGGACCATGGAGGAGCCCTCGGAGAGGCAACTAATGAAAGATTATGAGCACACTGGAATGGCACATTCAGTTGTTGCTTAAGGTATTTAAGAGTATAGAAGTATGGCCAAGCTAATGTTAGTAGAAGCTATATGCACGTATGATTGATTACGTAGCAGCGCCGGTTCTAGGGTGAAACTGAGAAATCTCAAGGAGCTTAATGCCCTGAAGGTGTGGGAACTGGATAACATCTATTACAGATGTCTGATAGAGCTGACACATGCAATTGCAGGTTCTATAGCAAGTATGTTTAATGAAATGATCAAGCAGAAGCACTACAATATAGTTCAAATAAAAGAAAGGTACTACTAACACCTAGGGCAAGGGTGGAGGTGGAGAACTAATTTAGGCATCTGCAGATCCCATCAGTCTGATCCATATGTCATGCAAGGTTTTAGAACAAATATTGAAGGGAAAAAATAATTGTCATGAAGGTAAATAGAAGAGTGGATAAAATGCAGAATAACTGATATTGTGGATGTGTGGTAAATCTCACCCTTCTCGACTTTAATAAACCTTTGATAAGGTGCCAGGTGGGAAATGTAGTGAAGCGTCAGAAGATGGAGATTAGGAAAACAATGTTAGTCACCTTTGTTTGAAAAGATGAATTTAAACTGGAATGTGTTCAATGAAAGGGTTACCAAGATGATCAGGAAAATGCAGAGTCTACTATATAAGCAGAGGCTAGAAGAGCGTGGCTTGTTAGACAGAGGTGTAAGACTGCTGTGCACGATGGGAGGGAGGAGAAATAATTAAATTAAAGGACAGTGTTGCCATAAGAACAAATAAGTTTACACTGGCCATAAATAAATTTAGGCTAAAAAGTTAGAGAAATGATATAGTAGTGATGCTCTGGTGTATGGTATTCTAATGAGAATAAAGAAGTAAGTGTGAGGAGTCACCTTGGGGCTGTTGCAATGAGGGTGTTGGAAATCTGCAAAGAAAATAATTTTTGCTAGCTTCATCAGCATATCAGATAGCATCTCAGCTAGCTTCTCTAGGAAACTTTTGCTTTTAGAAGATCCATTGACTAGAAGGGAATTCACGTTGGATTTTTTTCTGGTCGTTAGATGTTAGCACTGAGCCTATGTTGTCCTTTAGCTCTGTTTACATGGCGCAAACTAAGCTATAGGTTGTTTTTGGGATGAGGATGTGGATGGTGAAATACTCGATTGCTTACCTGATGTGAATTAGCCAGAGTTTTGGATTGCAGTGTAGTAAGATCTGAAGAATTAGAGCTGTTTCAATGCTTGTAGAAGTACAGTAAATGTGGCTACTCTGCGTGGTGTGGTAGCTTTTTACTGTTTGGCTTGTGGTGATGGTTGGTATTTTCTCAGGAGCGTTTTTTACCAACGAGACGTGGATTTTCAATGTGTGAGCCATGATGGCTGGTGAAAACCTATGGATGTGTTGATAATTCGAGGTAAAGCAGGTGTGCTTGACTGATCCTGGGTCTGTTGTTGCTTTGTTGTAGGAACTTCATTTGTGTGCTTGGGCATGGGCTTGTCTTCAAATCCCATGGTAAACTGAGGGTGGGAATGCTCAGCTTTTAAGGGCACCTGCCTGCCCCTAATCCCCTTTATAAATCAATGTTTTCATTTCCCTAACAAAATCGAAGTGAAGCTTGAGTGTTAGATGGAACAAACAGTGCTTCCCTTCATTCTTTGTCAATGAGACCTTCAGACCCAAGACATACTGAAATGGCCTTCTTAAGCATCTAAATAGAAAAGCCTTTAGTCTTTTGGGGGGCGGAAACTCTGCACTTTACATGTTAGAGATAAGTTAGATGGGTTAGTATTGTTTCCTTTGCAAATGGTCAATTTAATCATCGCATGTAATTGAGCGTAACATATTTTTAGGGGTATGTAAAATGGAACGAGCTGCCTTTCACCGCCAGAGTCGTTGTTGAGACAGGAGTGTGAAAAACCTATACACCAATCCTTTTTGCACTGTCTCTGCCTAGAGCTTTCTTTTCAGATGAAAGAAATCTTTTTCAGCACTGTCACTCTCAGCTTTTAGAAACTTAAATATTAAAAAATAAAATAAAATAAGAGCTAATACGAGGGGATATGAAAAAATGTTGGCATCTAAAAAATCACAAGACACTTCTTTTGTAGGTGCTAAAAGCTTTAAGTAAGACAAAATCATGCTGCTTAGCAGGGTATGTCAGCACTCAGTGGCTAGGACTAATGCTTCTCTTTGTGCCTTAGATTTCTATTTTCGCTCTTGCAAGAACTGACTGGTTACATGAGAAGAAAATGTTTCTTCACAGTATTAAAAGTATTATCATTATCATTTTCCCTGCCTTCCGGATTCGGCTGTGTGCTGACCCTTTGCATACTGGCCCAACAGCCACCTGTGCGGTTTGGTACACAGGGCCTTGTTATCCAGCTGGTCGGGTCTAACAATTTGGCATCAAGGGAGCGGCAATTAACACTGCCACCACTCCTTGCCACCTAACTGCAAGACCCTGGGGAAACCCTGTGGGCTGGACGACACAGCTCTGTGAGCCAGATGTGGCCTGTAGGCCAGGGGTTGAGCACTACTGGCAGTGACTTTTGTGCACCTCCATAACCAAGGCAAAAAGATGCTGTGCCTCTTACCCTGAACCCCTTAATGCAAAAGCTGTTAAGCTAAGCCTAGGTGCCCATGGGGATATATGCATGTGTGTACTTTTATTCATCCATGTTCTAGCCCAAGGGATGATGGATACAGGCTCTTCCTTGGCCTGTTTGACATGTTGAGGGGTTACTCAGAATAGAAATTAATTGTTCCCTCCTCTTCTAGCTCAGTCAGATAGGTTGTATAGGAGATTCAACTCTGCCTTGAACCCAGACTCTTCCTGAAGTCAGTAAGTGCCTTAATGTTTTTTAAAAACAGTGCAATGGTAAGTACTTTACAGAAACATATAGGTGATACAAGAATTATATATCCTCAGTAAATCAGCTTCCCAAGACTTGAAGGCCTAGGGAGGTTGTCTGGTTGGGGGTTGGAGGACTGAAAAATAGCCTGGTCTGAAGTGGGGGAAAGAAGAGCTCAGCCCAGGGGCTGGGGTGAGCAGCTGGGCTTTCCCTGCCCCAGGGCTGTGCTCCATATGTATGCAAATGTTTGATAGATTGGGCTAATCTGTTCCTGACCTAATTTAGTTTATCCTCACAGGTGAACTAATTTAGATCGGGCCAGCCATTTTTTGCCCATGTTAACCTCCCTAAACATCTGCGCAGATTGGCACTTAGATCAGATCTTAATGTAACGTTTAGGAAGGTATGCAGTAGTAACTATTAGAAATCAATTCCGTGTATATTTATTCTTATTCCAGAGTAATCTTGCTTTATTCTGAATTAAACAAATCCAGTATGGAAGTTCCACTTTAAATTCACACCTCGCCTTATTCTGAATTTTTGTCCATACACAAGCCTTTAGCGTCAGTCTTCTTTTTTTCCTGTGCTTTTCTTCACTGAGAGGGAAGCAATTGTTCAGTTGCTCAAGTACACCAGGAGGGAGAGAAATGTGAAACAGAAACATTAAACAGATTAAATACTACAAGTTTTTCTTGAGTAAGAAGAATAATAACATCTGACTTTATTGTTCGGAAAACCCTTATAGTGATCTAAATCCAAATGACTATTGCTGTAACCATTTCCAGTATCTGATTTGTGTTATTTTGCTCCCTGAAAGTGATGTTTTCACTTGCGTTCACTTTGCTTTTTTGTTAGTTTTGTTCATAAATGTCAGAATAAAATGAGGATTGTAGTTAAGAAATCAGTTGTACACGTTTACCAAATGGGTCATAAACATATCAAAATATGCGTTTGCATTTATGCAGGAGAGAAAAGTAAATATTTCCTCAGCACATAAACTTGAAGATCAGATAAGATGATCTGTGAATTGGTGTCCTTGGGCTACAGAGGGAAGGGTAGAGAAACAAAATAACCTTTTGCTTTTAATCCCTTCCTGCTTCGTTATTATAGTTAAAATATCCTCAAGATTGCAGCACTAAGGTAAATCATTTTCCTTTAAGGTAATCTTTAGGAAAGACAAAGGTTTTTGGCTAAGGAGGATTTTGCTTTTACCAGTGCCCCCTATCTCCTGTGATTATGCTTCTCCGTGCTGGAGATTTATGCCTGTAAATCTTATCCACTGCAAATTGATATGCTAGTTAGCATTTTATTTTTGTTATGAAATGCAAATTGAGAAAATCTTTCTAATCCATCCCTAACTTGAGGAAGGTTGTGGTGATTTGACCAAACACCTGTTGCAAACCACAGAAGTTTTTCAGATGACTTTCAGCATAAAAGTGAAAGTAAGGAGTGGGACAAAATGAGTCCAAGGTAAGACAAAGGAGCAATTGTCCAATGCATATGTTAATATAGTACAGGAGATCAAAGGATGTGATGTCACTTTATAGAGAAACAGGTCAGGCAAGCCCAGGTAACTCAGGAAGCAGGTTGCTAATTATTCACAAAGAAAGTCAGGTATACAGTTACAGTGCTACAGTGGGAAGTCAGGAGGTCAAAACTTGCTCAGTAACTGGCTCAACTTGAGACTGCTTTGGCCCCTTGATAAAAGACAATTTTTACAAATGGGAGAGAATGAGACGCGTTTACCTAATACAGCCTTGCAAGGTAAGTGAATGCAGCCTGTGAAACGGCTTCACTCTGAAAGCCGTAGGTGTTAGGTGAGTCATTGTATATGGGTGTTTCTGTTTTGCTTTTCAGAGCTAGTAACAGCAGCAGCATGTGCTGCTTGTCATACAGGGGGGTGACTTGTCTCTGCACGTGCGTGAATTTCTTTTTTTTTTTTTGGAGGAAAAAAAGGACTTCAAATTCATGGGATTGCAGTGTTTTCTTTGTACAATGCTGTTTTTTTAATTCTTTTTTATTTTTTTGCGGGGGGTGGGGTTACAGGGCAGGGAGATATTTTAGTCGCATTAGTATTTAACAGTGTTAGATGCCTGCTATTAACTGACTCTGTTTAAAAACTTACAGTAACTTGTGGCTTTTGTGGGTTGCCATTCTGTTGTGAAGCTTAAGTCTTTTTAGTTAAGAGATAAAGAGCAACGTACTTCTATTGCAACGATAGCAGAGATGCGAGGAACTTGGAGCTGGGCAGAGCAGAGAAGGGACACATGCACACAGACAGACACACACACATTTTTATTTATATATATTTATTGGGTTTTATTCTCATTTTATACTTTTTTGTCACTGTGCTAATGTAACACTATGTTTGCTAAATGGCCCTTGTGAGCGTTACCAAAGGTAGCTGGAAGAAAGTGCTCCATGGCCCATTCGGGTCTTGCTGTAGAGGTCTGAGCAGAGCAGTTGGGAAGCTTGCATTGTACTTGCTTACACAGCATCTTTGACGTAAAGTTTTTTTTTTCTAGGATAGGATTTTTTTTTTCTACACAATATTTTTTAAGGATCTTTCTCTAACCCAGTTAGAAGCTCTTTTCCCCGTCCAAGCAATACATTATTGTAGAGATCTTACTTTTCAAGAGGTTTTCCCTTTGCTTGACTCATCCTTTGTCTCTCTCGGTCTTTTTCTGGCATGTAATTGGGAAGAACCATTAATTCTGCTTGCCCAGGACAGGGAAAGCTTTCCGACTGTTCTTTGGGTTTGCAAGATTTGCAAAGCTACGTTCAGTTCACAAATGGTTTTGTGTGACTGAAATCCATGCGGCTTTCTAGCCCAAAGGGGAACTCATGGTCTTTCTTTTCCACAAAAGCTAGACTGGCACAAGTCTGTCAGTATGAGTAGCTTGTGTGTGTTATGTTTATATACAATACGTATTACATTTGAGGTCCAGTTTTCCTTTCAGCACTCAGATTTAACCTGGTAAGGTCTGTGAAAGAACTGCTGTGGAAAATCAGTCTTTCTCTCTCCCTTTCTGCTTTATTTATTTTTTTCAAATCATGGCCTTTCTTTTGCTATGCACTTGACCCTGAAGCTGCTTACTAGTTCAAACTGCATCTGTTTCTAGGGCTTGTGTTTCTGAGAAAAAGAAATGTTAATGCAGCTACTTATTTTATAGCTGGTAAGTCCAGATATCCTTTGCATAACCTACGGGTGAGAAGTTCATTCGTTCTGGTTTTCATTTAACCTTCCAGAAGAACTTTTAGAAATCTTCTTACTCTTCAGAAATCTGTTAGGTTTAATTCTGCCCCCAGGTATGTGCGCGTAAGCCAGGAGTCATTCCACTGAAATCAGAGAAATTATATTACAGTAAAATTGGCATGAAATAAGTCCTGAAATGAGACCCATTGTATCTTGTTGTAAATCTGTAGACTTGCATGGCCCTGATTTTGACCAAATTAAGCCACTTTTACATCACTTTAATTTCATGCACTTCAGTGGAGTCACTCGACACCAAGAGAACTGAGAATGGAAATGGGACCCTGGGGTCCTTTTCAGGGAAAGAAAAAGTGGCCTGTGGTTCCTCAGATCTGATAAAATGCCCTTTCTTTTTCTGTAGTTCAGTTCTGGAAACCAGGTAATTTCTGGGATTGTTTTAGAAATGCGCCAAAAATAACTAGAGATTTTACTGGGGTTCTTAATAAATAAATAACATTTTTGATTTGGCATCTTGATGCTGCTGATGGAGAGACGACTGCATTTCTGCCTCTTTTTCTTTCTTTTTGGGGAATTTAGTGCTTGGGTGAACTACTAAAGGTGCCAGATTGACAGCCTGGAGGCTGCTATCACTTATTTATTAAAAGGACAGGTACAGCCTGGATAGCAGGTGCTCAAACTTCCTTGCAGTGTCTGATCAGCGTGTGTGTCAATTCTGCTGGGGAAAGAGAGGCTCATCCAGGGTATCAGAATCCCAGTCCTTGTCACTCTTTCTGCAGCATCTGCCTGTAAGGGTGAAAATCAGTGTCCTCGGGGGTCGTATGAGGAGGATGCTAATACACATACTATAGACTAGCTCCGGGCTCCTGACTGGTTTGGCTAAACAACTATCAGCTGTTAAAAGAAGGCTTTGGGTTTGTGTAATTCAGTTAATTCTAGCCATCTGGTCATTCAACAAATACAAGGTCATTCTGCCATCACAATTTTCCATTTAACAATGGGTACATTTGAGCGACCTGCCCTTTGCTTCTGCTCTGTTGCTGTTACGACTTTGCCTACTCTGTAAATATTTCAGACTTGTATTGAAATGCATGCGGTTTCATTTTTGTTTGGATTTGAATGGCGTGTGTGCAGTGCGGTGCCTGCCGAGGTGAAAGTAAACACAGAACAATAGCTCTTTTGACTCTTGGTTTTAAATTAGCCCCTGATACGAATGAGTTGACAGGGTATTAAAAAATAAAACCCCTCAAACTTAAAAAAAAAAAAAAATTCTCACGTGCATGGTAGTGTGTGTAATTTTGGTTATTTCTGAAGTCAGTACAGAATCCTGCATATGATACACTTTGCATAGTTTTCTTCAATCTTCACATGTCATTTAAAGAATTTAGTAGCAGCATTTTGTTGGCCTAATGTTATTGCAGCTGGTGGTTTTGGGTTTTGTTTTTTTTTTTTCTTATTTTGGTTGGCTGGGATTTTTTTTTTAAAGATGTACCTTGTGTACATCTAATTCATTGCATCCTATATTGTGTTGCAAGGTGATCTGGGAGAGTTTAACCTAGTGGACAGGTTGTGGCTTAAGGAGAATATAAGCTTGTTACAGCCGGTAGTAGCTCTTGGGGGTGGGGGACTGAGTGGGCTACCAGCCCAGCTTCAAAGGCAGCTTCAGGCCCCGGGGACCTCACAGCACTGCAGCCCTAGCAGCTTGAGCTTTTCCTGAGACATCAGTAGTCTGCATTGGTGGTTTCACAAGGGCAACTGTTCTTGTATGACGAGGTAAGTACTTACATCCCCCCCACGCACACCCTGGACCACCCAGTTATACCTCTGGTTACAGCTATAGGCAGACTCTTTAGCTTAGAGCTGCCCATCTGACACAGGTAACCTCTCTCTGGGGCTATGGGAGGGGACAGGCAGCACACTGAGACAGAGGGCAGAAAGCAGAGCAGCAGATCTGGAAGGCAGCACGGGGAAGAAAGCAGAGCAGCAGACCAGGAAAGGTAAGGGGATCAGAGTGCACTTGGGGATGGTGCAGGGCTCATTTATGGCACGCCTGCCAGAAAAGTTGCCTTGGTGGCTTTAGCTCATCCTATAGTAGCTCATTCTTTTAGTTTGGGAGCTCGCTGGTTCAGTTCCTGGTAGGCGAGTGAAGATGACAGCACTTTTGTCGGCATTGCTTAAATGTCAGTTTGAAATCCTTTGTTTTGGTCGTAAGGGTCCTTGCTGTCAAAAAAAAAATTGTTTGTTATAACAAAATTATAAAAAATGATCTGTCTGCACCTGTGAAAACCATCAGTGGGGGCACACAAAGAGGTTTCCTTTAATATTTAAGCAAGGTTTTAAGGGGTTAAGATTAATCCAATGTGCTGTTGGATTTTTTTCTCATTAATTTGAATGGGTTTTGCATCCAGCCCCTAAGTGTGTCAGTGTTGGGGAGTTGCACAATATAACTATGTTTATTTTAAATCAGTATTTACCCTCATGAAATTTTGCTAATGCAAACCGAGGCCTAAATGAGGCAAATTCTTTTTCCTCTTAAACAAAAGAGGCTGGTTTCGGGAACTGGAGAGAGGAATGTGCACTCACTGTGTGGCATGGGTTTCAGGTGAGGATAAGGGCAGTGCAAGCCCCACAAGAGTTAATAATATATATCTTATGAGTTACGCACACTTTAAGTAATACTCATTAACAGTGTGGCCAATCATACTTCATTAATGGGAGTCTTGTGAAAGAAAGTCCTAAGTCTGAAAGTCTGATTTTTGGGGGCACATTATAGCCTTAGGCATTGGAGACTTACATGCCTTGGATGGTCTATGGAAAAGTATTAGCAGAACATCACTGGACCGCTTCTTGGCACTTTGAATGATAATGGTGAGGGTTTTCTATGGTCACATTTCTGACACAGATTGGCTCTATTCATCAACTAGGAACAGTCACAATGGATAATTTAAAATAATTCATTTTATTGCTGCTTCCTGTGGATTTCTGACTTCCATTTCAAAGTGCCAAACCAGGACAGCTAAAGATCTCAGTACTGATCACTGGGCAGGTACTATTAGTAGTATGAGCAGTTTGAGTATCCCTGCAGAGTCATCATCACCAGCTAGATCAGTATAGAGCACTTAACTTGACATTAGCATAACATTTATAAGTCTATCCAAATGTGTTAACTCTTTTGTCGTGTATGTGCTGTATGCACTGCTTTGTATCCCAAATCTAAATATGGTGGAGAGTTGCAGTTTGGGATTTTAGTTTGGCTATACAACCTAGCACAATGAAAAGTTGATTGTGCCCAGTTTGGAACTTGTACCAGGTTAGGCTGTTTCAGCTGCATTTTATCCTGTTTTTAAGTTTCTTTAAACTCATAACTCACAGCAAACCAAAGAGGTGCAGCTCTAAAACTGGAAATCCTGAAGTTAGGGATGGATTCTGGCATGGCCTGAGACCTCCCGAGATTACTTCGCTGTTACTTGCCTATTTCAGTGTTGGGCCCAAGTTACCATTTTTCATTTACCTACAACAAGAAACTCATTGAGGTTCTTTCACCTGTGATGGT